GCCTATTGGCACTAGTGGGTTGTGGGATCTTGTTCCGTGTGAGGTATGTTTGTTGTACCTTGGACTTCACGTTTCGTTTAGTTTGTTGTTTTGTCGTGTTGTTTATTAAATTTAAATAAACATGTATGCATATCACGCTGCGCCTTGGTCTGACCCGTCGATGAACGAACGTGACAGGATGCCTGTTCTTCTGTTTTACACACCGCTCCTCCTAAACCGTCAAATGTCACTTCCAGACCTCATGTCTCCACAACCCTCACAAACCTCTCTGAAACATTATCTAACATCTCTACAACATTTCTGGCATCTGGAGATATCAGTGGTCACTCTTCATCAAGAGCAGGTATGATGAATCTTTCATCTTAGACATTACAACTAATATGTTGTGATATGAAATGCTGTAATGCTGGAGGAAATCAATTGGATCTGTTCAAGCATTGGACAAATCTCTCTCTCTCTCCTCTCTCTCTCGCTCCCCCTTCTCTCTCTCGCTCCCCCTTCTCTCTCTTGCTCCCCCTCTCTCTCTCTCTCTCTCTCTCTCTCTCTCTCTCTCTCCTCTCTCTCGCTCTCTAGATTATCCTCCCTCAGATTACTCTCCTGGTGCAGGACAGAGGCAGAGTTCTGGTAAGTTTCATGTCTACTGATTTCAGCGGTGGCTAAAATAAAATGGTTGTATTATTTGGTAGCAGTGGCTGTGTTGTCATGATGGTGTATATGTGAGTCTCTCATAGGCCTACAGGAAGTGATGCAACACTTGAGGTTTTGGGCTGAGCAGCTGCTGACACCATGGCCTCTGTTGCTATGGTTACTCTGATCGCTACAGTCTCCTCCTTTAGCACACCTTTATTTTCTCTCTCTCTGTCTGGCTGCCTGCCTGCCTGTATGTCTGTATGTGTGTCTGTCTGTCTTCCTGGCAGCCTGCCTGCATGTCTGTCTGTCTGTCCGGCTGCCTACCTGTCTTCCTGCCTTACTGAGAGACTGACTGACCAACCCGCTGACCAACTGAGAAACCAACTGACCGAATGAACGTTGTAACTGTCTCTGGTCAGGTCTGATGGTATCTACAGTGAGGGAAAAAAGTATTTGATCCCCTGCTGATTTTATACGTTTGCCCACTGACAAAGAAATGATCAGTCTATAATTTTAATGGTAGGTTTATTTGAACAGTGAGAGACAGAATAACAACAAAACAATACAGAAAAACGCATGTCAAAAATGTTATAAATTGATTTGCATTTTAATGAGGGAAATAAGTATTTGACCCCCTTTAAGAGTGTGCTCCTAATCTCAGCTCGTTACCTGTATAAAAGACACCTGGGAGAGAGAAATCTTTCTGATTGAGAGGGGGTCAAATATTTATTTCCCTCATTAAAATGCCAATCAATTGATAACATTTTTGACATGCGTTTTTCTGGATTATTATTTTTGGAGTCACCCTCAAAAATGACCGCCAAACCGGTCATGCTGGAGGATGTTGCAGGCAGCAGAACGTTCTCCACGGCGTCTCCAGACTCTGTCACGTCTGTCACATGTGCTCAGTGTGAACCTGCTTTCATCTGTGAAGAGCACAGGGCGCCAGTGGCGAATTTGCCAATCTTGGTGTTCTCTGGCAAATGCCAAACGTCCTGCACGGTGTTGGGCTGTAAGCACAACCCCCACCTGTGGACGTCGGGCCCTCATACCACCCTCATGGAGTCTGTTTCTGACCGTTTGAGCAGACACATGCACGTTTGTGGACTGCTGGAGGTCATTTTGCAGGGCTCTGGCAGTGCTCCTCCTGCTCCTGCTTGCACAAAGGTGGAGGTAGCAGTCCTGCTGCTGGGTTGTTGCCCTCCTACGGCCTCCTCCACGTCTCCTGATGTACTGGCCTGTCTCCTGGTAGCGCCTCCATGCTCTGGACACTACACTGACAGACACAGCAAACCTTCTTGCCACAGCTCGCATTGATGTGCAATCCTGGATGAGCTGCACTACCTGAGCCACTTGTGTGGGTTGTAGACTCCGTCTCATGCTATCATTAGAGTGAAAGCACCGCTAGCATTCAAAAGTGACCAAAACATCAGCCAGGAAGCATAGGAACTGAGAAGTGGTCTGTGGTCACCACCTGCAAAACCAGTCCTTTATTGGGGGTGTCTTGCTAATTGCCTATAATTTCCACCTGTTGTCTATTCCATTTGCACAACAGCATGTGACATTTATTGTCAATCAGTGTTGCTTCCTAAGTGGACAGTTTGATTTCACAGAAGTGTGATTGACTTGGAGTTACATTGTGTTGTTTAAGTGTTCCCTTTATTTTTTTGAGAAGTGATGCAGACAATTACATTGATGGAAGTTACAATCTATCTGCAATATTAAAGCTGATAATAATAACTCTATCGGAGAATTTGACTTATACATTGTTAACGTGTGTGTGAGTGTGTGTACGTCTGTATACGTGTGTGAGTGTACGTATGTGTTTACGTTTGTTTACGTGCCCGTGTTGTGTCTGTACGTATGTGTGTACGTGTGTTTGTGTAAGTGTGTGTGTGTGTGCATGCGTGTGTGTGTCTGTGCATGAATGTACGTGTACGTGTCTGTGTGTAAGTGTGTGTGTGCATGCGTGTGTGTGTCTGTGGGTGAGTGTACGTATATGTGTACGTGTGTGTGTGTGTAAGTGTATGTGTGCATGCGTGTGTGTGTCTGTGCATGAGTGTACGTATGTGTGTACGTGTGTGTGTGTAAGTGTGTGTGTGTGCATGCGTGTGTTTGTGTGCTTGTGTGCACATCTGTGTCTTTCTTCACCTAATGATTCTCCTCACTGTCTAACATGTTGATGATGAGGAGGATGGTGAGGATGAAGAAAATACAACTTCTACCCAGAATGCAGTGGACCCTCAGCCCGTGTCCAACGCTGACCCAGAATGCATTGCTCATGACCCCTCCCTCTACCAATCAGCCTATCAGGCGCTGGACCACAAAGCATTGGATGTCTACCAGAGCCTTAACAATGTCACAGACTCTGAATAGACTCTGTAACACTAATTGAAGTCTAATATGTAATTAAGTTCTAATATGTAATTATATGCTCTGTAGTCTGAAGAGAAGAGGTCATCTGATTGTCTGGTTGTGACACAGTGTTCTTGTTACCAGAGCTGGGGACCAATTACATTTTATTTAATTCCATTTCAATACAATCAATGAATCACAATTCAATTTATCATTGATGACCATCATTTTCCATGTTGACTTTTCAATCCATGAATGGAATTTCACTTCACTTCCTGAATTGACTGAGTTGAAACATATAGATTATTAGAATAACTGTAAGCTCGTCCCCAGGATCAATAGAGAGAGAGAGAGAGACCCGGCTGGTGGTCAAGATTTGAGTATGTATTAATCAGTACGGATAACATTCTGTAGGGGGCGATATGGAGGTCGTTCTATTGGTTTACTGAGATCTCAGTTGCTTGTCTGTTATGTGATGACATCATTCATTAAGGGGGAGTTAGGTTGTAGAGGAGGGATGTTTCTCCTGTTCAGAAACTCATCTGTTGAGTTGATCATTTACAAAGACTGTATTTGGATCAATGAAATGTCAGAAAAAGTAATAAAATATATTGATGTATACTTTAACTATATTGTCATCATCTAAAATATAATATGCCATTTAGCAGACGCTTTTATCCAAAGCGACTTACAGTCATGCGTGCATAAATTTTTACGTATGGGTGGTCCTGGGGATTGAACCCACTACCCTGGTGTTACAAGCGCTATGCTCTACCAATTGAGCTACAGAGGATCATCTCAACAATGTGTTCCTCCTCTGCTGGAACAAACATGGTAACTAGAACAGAGAAGTTGACAGTTTTAACACTTAGTCACCACAGCTAGCTGAGTTGTCTTGTGGTTTAGAAGTCTAACCTTCGGCCGGTTTGAACCAGTTTCACTCTGCAGCACATATAGACCTGCAGACACTGAGGTCACTACAGAGAAATCATCAGGATATGTAGACTAATGCCATCCCCTCCCACCACCACCATCACTACCTCAATCTCTCTGACATACAATTTATGTTGTTTATTTCACTTTTGTTTATTATCTATTTCAGTTGCTTTGGCAATGGAAACATATGTTTCCCATGCCAATAAGTGAGAGAGAGAAGAGAGAGAGAGAGAGAGAGGAGAGAGAGAGAGGAGGACCGAGAGAGAGAGAGAGAGCGAGAGAGATAGAGAGAGAGAGGAGAGAAGAGAGAGAGAGAGAGAGAGAGAGGAGAGAGATAGAGAGAGAGAGAGAGAGAGGAGAGAGAAAAAAAAAGTGGGTGTCAGAGGAGGGAGGATGACTTTCAATTATTAGGAGACCGATCCTTTCAGAAACCACCCGCGGCAAACGAATAGCTGCCCAGACAAAGCTGTGTGGACCTGTGCTAGCTGGTAGTATAGTAAAGGTAACTTTAACCAGTATAGAAAACTGTGATAAGGATGTGGTGGGAGGACAATTCACTGTGGGCTGCTCTCACACGAGGGCAGGGACCAACAGCAAATATTTCTGCAAGGGGACATGTTCTGGTGAAGATATTCTTGTTGAAACTACTGGGAGAAATATAGTAACTCAAGGAAGATTCAGTATAGTATCGTGTCGCGTCGAATGCTGGTGCTCATTGCTGTCAAACAAAGGAGTCCGCTCATACTGAACCTGGATCATACGTTTTATTCATATCACAAGCTTTCAGCATGAGTTACAGACTTGCAGGGTCTGGAGAGCAGTGTCCTCGAATTCTAATGGCTGCTCTAACCCCCTATGCCCCCAGCATATACTTATAAACAATGTGAAAATATGGGTTGCTCCCTCTGCGGTCCAATCACCGGTCTCCCCTGGGGCGTCACCCTACAACTGACTACTTTTGAACTAACATAAACAACATTCCATTTCTTCATGAAAAACATTTAACAAAGGCATAATCCTAATACACTACAATAGAAGACAAGGGAGATGGAGTCTTCGATGTAACCATCAAGAACCTGATGAAGACAGACTCTGATACCTACTGGTGTGGAGTGGGTAGATTTGGCCCAGACACATTCCAAGAGGTGCATCTCATAGTTACAGATGGTAAGTGAATACTCCATATAAATTGGTATCTAGTAATGAAATTCCTGAATTATTTCCTGACATAAAGTATTGGTGTTTATATGTACTTTCTATTGACTCACAGCTCCTCCCACTCCTACACCGTCACCTGTCACCTCCAGACCCCATGTCTCCACAACCCTCCCAAACCTCTCTGCAGCATCCCCAAACACCTCCACAATCCTCCCTAACCTCTCCACAACATCCTCTTACCTCTCCACGTTTCTGGCATCTGGAGATATCAGTGGTCCTCCTTTATCAAGAGCAGGTATGATGAACCTCTCATCTTAGACATTAGAACTAATATGCTGTGATAAGAAATGCCTGTAATGCTGGAGAAAATCAATTGTCTGTTCATGCATTGGACAAATGTCACTACTTTCTTTCTTTTTCTCTCTCTTTCTCTCTCTCTCTCTCTCTCTCTCTCTCTCTCTCTCTCTCTCTCTCTCGCTCTCTCTCTCGCTCTCTCTCTCAGCTCATTTATATCTGTCCCAGGCAGGGGCGGTGTGTTCATTAGGGCGATATGGGCGACGCACTGCCAAACGGGAAAATAAAGGGATTTTTTTTCTAATCAATTATATCATATCAGTGTTCTAATCTAGACGTCTGATCTGCCACTAAATGTCCAATCAGGCTAAAGTCGTGCTTCAAATGTCCCCGCCCGTTTTGGGGCGATTTCAGTCAGGTTGAAAATCGCCCAGAAGTCTCTCAAAGCCTCTAATGTAAAATCAATTTTTTTCAAATATCAGAGCTTTCAATACAATCTCTATGGGTTTCTGAGGGCTTGCACTTACGCGCTTTCGTCATACGTAACATAACCATGAACGTAACTAAAAAAAGAGCGGGTAGCCTCATCAATCAATTCACTACTACTGTCAAAATGGCAGTGCAACTCGATTGTCTCTTTGAAAGAAGTTCCTTTTTGTCGGCGAACAAATCAAGATAAATTGGCAACGAAACAATTAGGACCTCCCAGACCAAATTTAATAATTCAACAGGTTTCTACTAAAGGGGAAAAGTCATACACCCGAGGATTTTCCAAAAATTGGTATGAACGAAAAATCTGGCTAGCAGGCTGCGATGTAGCTAATGCAGTTTTCTGCTACCAGCCCACCGTGAGAGAGGCATCTGGCTACGTGAGGATGATGAAGATTTTATTTTTTTCCTGCGGCTTTTTCACAAAATCATGCCCCACGTCGACATTCTGTACCAGAAGCTACAGAAGAAGGACATCGATGCTGTCTTTATCAAACGTGCCCTCGACAGCTTCACAAGCAGTGTTAGGAACACTTGCTCGTTCCATGAAGTAGACTGACCAGGTGAAAGCTATGATCCCTGATCCCTTGAAAGGTGTATGGTATAAGGTAAGATTAAACAATATCATTCGATCTTTCATTTTCACAAGTCATTGAACGCTTTGCTGTATTGAAACAGAGAAGAGAACAGTTTCATAACAAGTAATGTAGCCTCTCTCTCTCTTTGTCCCTCCCTGTCTGTCTCTTTAACACACACACGCCCAAATCAGTTCACAGTTGATGTTGTTTAAAATAGTTATTTTTCATTTAAAAAAAAGTTTTTAAAAAAATAATCTGTTCATGTTCATTTTTACAAATCTATACAATTGGCCAGAATATGGTTGTTCATATTTACAAATCTATACAATTGGCCAGAATATGGTTGTTCATTTTTACAAAGCCATACAGATAGCTGTGTTTACCATTTCTAGAAATTACTTTCAAATTCTGTTTTCAGGCAAAATGTCTATCACTGTTCATTTTCACAAATCTATACAAGAGGGCAGAATATGGAAGTCTATAAAAATGTCTTATTACCAATAACTTGCATCAATGTTTTCAGTAGCCTCTATCAAAAGCTCCTGCTTACTTGTTGTGAATTATGCTCAGGTGCACATATTTCCAATTCAACCATGAGGCAAAAAATGTGGTAAAAGCTCTTGTTGATCCTGCAATCTGAACAAATACCAAGATGCTGTATTTTCAGCTGATATTTCATTTGTTTATGGAAATGCATATTGTTTATGCAGTGTTGAGGAATGTGAAAGAACACCCTTGATTATTTTTACTGTGATAACTTATTTTGATTTTGTAAGCCAACACTTTTGAGATCAGTCAATAAATGCTTCTGGTATTGACTTATATGCTGCCCCTGTCTTCATGTTGTTGCTGGACATATCTTTTTAAAAATGTGTGTAGGTCACCTAAATCATCAGAAAACTTGCCCCCCCTGAGAATTTTTTCAGGAGCCGCCACTGGTCCCAGGGAAGATTTGAGGCCATGTAGATGTGAGTCTCTCAGAGGCCCACAGGATGCAACATTTGAGGTTCTGTGGAGAGCAGCTGCTGACACCATGGCCTCTGTTGCTATAGTTACTCTGATACCTATCTTACTCAGACTGTTCCTTTATCAGACCTTTATTATCTATTCTCTTATTGCTATTACTATTATAATTATTACCCATCTCTATTATCTATCTATCTATCCTCTCTGTCTGTCTGTCTGTCTGTCTGTCTGTCTGTCTGTCTGTCTGTCTGTCTGTCTGTCTGTCTGTCTGTCTGTCTGTCTGTCTGTCTGTCTGTCTGTCTGTCTGTCTGTCTGTCTGTCTGTCTGTCTGTGTTCTGTCTGTCTGTCTGTCTGTCTGTGTTTCTGTCTGTCTGTCTGTCTGTCTGTGTTTCTGTCTGTCTGTCTGTCTGTGTTTTGTCTGTCTGTCTGTCTGTCTGTCTGTCTGTCTGTCTGTCTGTCTGTCTGTCTGTGTTTTGTCTGTCTGTCTGTCTGTCTGTCTGTCTGTCTGTCTGTCTGTCTGTCTGTCTGTCTGTCTGTCTGTCTGTCTGTCTGTCTGTCTGTCTGTCTGTCTGTGTTTTGTCTGTCTGTCTGTCTGTCTGTCTGTCTGTCTGTCTGTCTGTCTGTCTGTCTGTCTGTCTGTCTGTCTGTCTGTCTGTCTGTCTGTCTGTCTGTCTGTCGGTCTGTCTATCTATCAGTTTTTTTGTCTGTCTATCGCTCTGTCTGACTGTCTGTCTGTGTTCTTGTCTATCTGTCTGTCTGCTTGTCTGTCTTTTGGTCTGTCTGTCTGCCTGTCTGTCACCTGACAGACTCTACCAACCAACTGACCGACCAAACAACTGACCAATCTTCCAACCTACCTTACTTTACTTTATTGACTGACCTATCCACTAGTCTACCGACCAACCCACCAGATGACCCTGGTAACGATCCATCAGTATGATATCTATAGACTGTAAAGCATAGGGTTGAGTTATTCTGGTCTATGATATATACAGTACTCTGTAAAGTCTCTCCTCCTGTCTGTGGTCAGGTCTGATGGTGTGGACCAGTGTTGGTCTGGTAGTCAAGGTGACAGTGTTAGGACTGGTCCTGCTCCGGTTCTACAGACAGAGGAGAGGAACCAGGACAACACCACCACCACCACCAGTCTCCTCCAACACACAACCTGACCCTACTGGAGAGGTGAGAGATACAAGGGCGTGTGTGTGTGTGTGTGTGTGTGTGTGTGTGTGTGTGTGTGTGAGTGTGTGTGTGTGTGTGTGTCCATAATAACTTGTGGTGGAGGGGATATAGACGGTAAACTAAACATCTAAAGGTTGAGTGTCTACGTCTACAGCGTCCTCTAGTTGGATTGTAGCTTGTTATCATTCCATGAAGAAACAAAACAGTGGCTAACATATTGATGATGGTTGAGGGCCCTCCACTTCTTTTCATATCTGACCATGTATTTATTGTCATTGGTTCTCTATGCAGGTTGACTGTGTGTATGAGGAGATCAGAGAGGCAGAAAGACAGACAGACACACTCCCTGTGGTCATCTCTTCAGTCTACTCTACTGTCAACTCACCTACCAACTCTACAACCTACCCTGCTGGAAAAGACTCTACAACCTACCCTGCTGGCCAAGCTTCTACAACCTACCCTGCTGGCCAAGTCTCTACAACCTACCCTGCTGGCCAAGCCTCTACAACCTACCCTGCTAGCCAAGCCCCTACAACCTACCCTGCTTGCCGTGCCACCGGTGTCCCACACTGTGACATCTATGCTAACGCTAGCTGCCACAAAGATGATATAAATCCAAGCTATTCTACTGCAGATCACCCAGCTTCTCTCATCTACTCTAATGTGGATCTACTGAAAGATTCTAGAGTCTCTTCAAGCCCTCCAACAGCCAGTGGAACCCAGGATGATTCCATCTATTCTACAGCCCAGTTACCCAAAGATACTGTAGAATCTACAAGATACCCTGCTGTATACCTCTCTAAAGACACTCCAGAAGACGCCATCTACTCTACAGCCTAGCTACCCATAAAAATGTAGGACTATATAATCTATACAAGGGATACGTCTCAAATGACACCCAATTACCTATTCCCCATATGGGCCCTGGTCAAAGGCATTGCTCTATAGGGAACAATGTGCAATTTGGGATGAAGGGAAGCTCCCTGTAGAGAGATGAAGGGTTGTCACCACAGAGCCGCCATCTTGGAATGACGTGGGGGGAAGAATCCCTTTCATGTTTCATATTTTCCTTGACATATTGTATTAAAACAGCTCATGTGGTTTTACTGTATATATTGTGTGTAAAATATGAACATCTGGGTTTAAAATCACTTTTATCTCCAGATTTTGTGAAAGTCAACCAACATTATTGTAAATATTTGTATAAATATGAACTATGTGTTGTTATAATAATGAAGACAGTAATACCATAATAGTCAGTTGTACCTTTGAGATTTACATATCTATTATATATGTACATAAACTGGGCCTTTTAAAGCACTTCATTAAAACTCATCAAAATGTTTAAAACAGTGTGTGTGTGTGTTTGTCAGTGTGGGTGTAGTGTGTTTGTCAGTGTGTGTGTAGTGTGTTTGTCAGTGTGTGTGTGTGTTTGTCAGTGTGGGTGTGTGTTTGTCAGTGTGGGTGTAGTGTGTTTGTCAGTGTGTGTGTAGTGTGTTTGTCAGTGTGTGTGTGTGTTTGTCAGTGTGTGTGTGTGTTTGTCAGTGTGGGTGTGTGTTTGTCAGTGTGGGTGTAGTGTGTTTGTCAGTGTGTGTGTCTGCACATGTAGAGAAAGAGGAAGAGTCTCAACTTGAACCGCTTGACACACCCACACACACACACAAACACACACACACACACACACACACACACACACACACACACACACACCACACACACACACCACACACACACACATACACACATACACACACACACACACACACGCACACACGCACACGCACACACGCACACACACACACACACACACACACACACACACACACACACATTCACATACACACACTGAAGAGAGAGCAGACTCAGTTACAGGTACAGTGATAGCAGTAGTGTACGGGTGTGTGTGAAGGTACTCTGACAGGACTAGTGTCGGGGTGTGTTTGTGTGTGTGTGTGTGAAGGTACTCTGACAGGACTGGTGTCGGGGTGTGTTTGTGTGGGTGTGTGTGAAGGTACTCTGACAGGACTAGTGTCAGGGTGTGTTTGTGTGTGTGTGTGTGAAGGTACTCTGACAGGACTAGTGTCGGGGTGTGTTTGTGTGGGTGAGTGTGAAGGTATCTGACGGACTAGTTCGGGTGTGGTTTGTGTTGTGTGTGTGAGGTAATCTGACAGGACTAGTGTCAGGGTGTGTTTGTGTGTGTGGTGTGTGAAGGACTCTGACAGGACTAGTGTCGGGGGTGTGTTTGTGTGGGTGAGTGTGAAGGTACTGTGACGGATTGATTGTAGACATACAAGGGAGTGATGGACTTCACTGGGAGAGATCAGAGACTGTCTGTATCACTATACTATATCTCCTCTCAGGTAGGGTTTAAAAAGATTTACACTGTTACACTAGAGACTGGTCCTAGATCAGGTCTACACTGATACACTAGAGACTGGTCCTAGATCAGGTCTAAAACCGGTTACACTAAAAGACTGGTCCTAGACAGGTCTACACTGATCACAGACCTGGTCCTAATCAGGTCTACACTGTTACACTAGAGACTGGTCCTAGATCAGGTTTTACACTGATACACAGACGTCCTAGATCAGGTCTACAACTGTTTACAAAGACTCGGTTGGATTCCTAGATCAGGTCTACACTGTACACTAGAGATGGTCTATATCAGTTCTACACTTTACACCAAAGATGTTCTAGATCAGGTCTACACTGATACAATTAGAGACTGGTCCTAGAATCAGGTCTACACTGTTACAACTAGAGACTGATCCTAGATCAGGTCTACACTGATACTACACTGAACACTCACGATGACTGGGTCCTAGATCAGGTCTACACTTGATACACGAGAGACTGGTCCTAGATCAGGTTGACACTGATAACACTAGAGACTGGTCCTAGATCAGATCTAACACTGATACACGAGAGACTGATCCCAGATCAGGTCTACACTGATACACTAGAGACTGGGGTCCTAGATCAGGTCTACACTGATACACTAGAGACTGGTCCTAGATCAGGTCTACACTGTTACACTAGAGACTGGTCCTAGATCAGGTCTACACTGTTACACTAGAGACTGGTCCTAGATCAGGTCTACACTGTTACACTAGAGACTGGTCTTAGATCAGTCAACCTTCTACTGGTTAGTTTTCAGAAATAATTTTACTACTTTACTGATTACATTTGAAGACAGGAAAGTTTGTTGGCTTCAAAATGTATTACTAAGCAGATGGCAAACCTTGTTAAATGTAGTATTTTAAATCTGATGTAAAGTGAGTAATGTCTTCATAGTAGCAGTCAAATTGATTGATCTAATCAAATCAAAGTGTATTTGTCACTTGCACAGGATACAACAGGTGTAAACAGTACAGTGAAATGCTTAGTTCCAAGCTCTTCTTCAACAAGGCAGTATTCAATATCAAAGGTTAAGAAATAGAAAAGTGATCAACTGTTCCGTCTATGTGATTGACAGCTACCTGTCATGGCCAGAAGATCTCTGTGAGGGGAGTGGAGGGACAGATGAAGGAGCTTCGTTGTGAATACTCCTTCACCAACCAGGACAATGTCAAGTACTTCTGTCGGATCGATGACCGCCTATCCTGCCGGGACCTGATCCGGACCGGGAAGCATGACGTCTGGGTGAGTGAGGGGAGATTCTCTGTGTACGACAACACCACTGCTGCGGTCTTCACTGTCATTATAGACATGCTGAGCCTGAGGGATGCTGGGAAATACTGGTGTGGAGTGGACATCTTCTTATTGCCGGATGATGTCAGTGAGATTCAACTGCAGGTTACACCAGGTAGGCACTTTATCTCTGTGTTTCATTGGTTAATCCTGTCCCTCTTTAACCAAAGTACCACTAATAAAGGTTTTATGACATAACCATTCCCACTGTTGGGTGACATAACCATTCCCTTAATAGGGTGACATAACCATTCCCACAGCAGGGTGACATAACCATTCCCTTAATAGGGTGACATAACCATTCCCACTGTTGGGTGACATAACCATTCCCTTAATAGGGTGACATAACCATTCCCACAGCAGGGTGACATAACCATTCCCACAGTAGGGTGAATCCTACTAATCCTAACCCTGTCTAATAGAGGTCTAGGATATTGTTGAGCCTGTGTTTTCAATCCTAACCCTGTCTAATAGAGGTCTAGGATATTGTTGAGCCTGTTTTTAATCCTAACCCTGTCTAATAGAGGTCTAGGATATTGTTGAGCCTGTTTTTTAATCCTAACCCTGTCTAATAGAGGTCTAGGATATTGTTTTAGCCTGTGTTTTATCATAACCCTGTCTAATAGAAGTCTAGGATATTTTTGAGCCTGTGTTTTAAAACCTAACCCTGTCTAATAGAGGTCTAGGATATTGTTGAGCCTGTGTGAGTCTGTTTATCAAAGCAGGTTGGGGGTTTTTCTCGTAACAGAGAACTGTGCTGGGTTTCCCTTTTCAGATCTGTTCCCTCTTCATTGCCACCCTTTCCCGGGGAAAAGTGTGGGACGTGAATGTTGTGTGTGTGTGTGTTTGGGGTGTGTGTGTGTGTCGTGTGTGTGTTGGGTGTGTGTGTGTTTAGGTGCGTATTCACCTTTCACTGTTTCCCTTCGCTATTTTCACCACGACCCCGAAGCCCTCCCCAGAACGGACAACAACCCATACACACACAGTGAGGTTATGCACGTATGTGTGTGTGGGTGTGTGTGTGTGTTGTGTTATACACCAGGTGGACATCAGTTTCTCCCCTTCTCTCTCTCTTCAGATTTCCCCGCTGACTCTCCTGGTTCTAACCACGGTGACGTGTCTCTCAGCACTGCTGTTCCTGGGTTTCTTCACCTCTCTCTGCTGCTGGTCGTCCAGAACCAGAACACCCTCAGTTCTGACTATGTGACCATGAACCCTGTCACAAGTGCCGGAATCACCCCCAACATAGATCTTGACAGCATAGACACCTCTGTAACGTCTGGACTCTACGCCCACATAGATCCACAACACATAGACACTGCTGTAACGTCTGGACACTACCCCCACATAGATCCACAGCACATAGACACCTCTGTAACGTCTGGACACTACCCCCACATAGATCCACAGCACATAGACACGTCTGTAACGTCTGGACACTAGCCCCACATAGATCCACAACATAGACACTGCTGTAACGTCTGGACACTACCCCCACATAGATCCACAGCACATAGACACCTCTGTAACGTCTGGACACTACCCCCACATAGATCCACAGCACATAGACACCTCTGTAACATCTGGACACTACCCCCACATAGATCCACAACACATAGACACTGCTGTAACGTCTGGACACTACCCCCACATAGATCCACAGCACATAGACACCTCTGTAACGTCTGGACTCTACGCCCACATAGATCCACAGCACATAGAAGCTGCAGTCAGCGGCCGAGTTGGCTTGAACATTGATGAGTACGTAGATATGGACGTCACTGGCCAAGCCGTCCACTATCACAGTCTTACACTGGGACAGCTTCCAGAAGACATCTACCAGTACCTGACCCTGGAACAGCTCCTAGAAGACAACATCTACCAGAGCCTGACCCTGGGACAGCTTCTAGAAGACAACATCTACCAGAGCCTGACCCTGGGACAGCTTCTAGAAGACAACATGGATCAGAACCTGGGGCCATCCACCAATTATACTGAACAAAAATAGAAATGCAACATGTAAAGTGCTGGTCCCATGTTTCATGAGCTGAAATAGAAGTTCCCAGACATTTTCCATACACACAAAAAGCTTATTTCTCTCCAAAACGTATTCTGATTGGCTGGACCTGACTCCCTGGTGTGTTGGCCTGTCTTCCAAGTGGGTGGGCCTGGCTCTCAAGTGGGGTTCCCAAATGTCCCGTGTAGATCATTTGGTAGAGCTTGGCGTTTGCAACGCCAGGGTTGTGGGTTCGATTCCCACGGCGGGCCAGTATGAAAATGTAACTAACTGTAAGTCGCTCTGGATAAGAGCGTCTGCTAAAATGTAAATGTGGGCCAATGCCCACCCAGGCCCAATTTTGACTGGCCAGGCATGTGAAATCCATAGATTAGGGCCTAATGAATTTATTTCAAGTTGAACTGTAACTCTTTGAAATTGTTGCATGTTGCGTTTATATTTTTGTTCAGTATAGATCACTTTTAATAGCAGAATCAAAAGTTGTCCACCAATTATTTCGCTATATCTTGCAGAGCCGGGGACCAACCACCAATTAGACCACTGTTTATAGCATAGTCAAAATATGAATCAAAGTTAAAGTCATATAAACCAAACTAATAAAACTTCTTGAAAATCTCCTCTGCTATTCTATTCTATTCTCCACAAATCATGTCTGTAACGCAGTAACTTCAATGAGCTAATAGGGGGCGCTGTTAGTGTGTTAGATTGATGAAGTGACGTGCAGGTCCGGCTCCAGAACGAATCAGTTGGACAGCCATTTGATTTCTATAGGCTGGCGCGTGTTTTTCCCGGGACGTCCACACATGTTATAATGGTGTTGTAATAAAAACCACAGGCAGCTCATGAGATGAACATTCAGGTTCTTTCAATCACATTCATCTCTCTACTCCACCTGTCTGCCTCCCTTCCTATCTGTCGTGACTAACGAAGTGCAACATTGTATCAACTCAGCAGGTTGACATGCTCAGGGGCGCACGCTCCCTCAATGTTATCAAAGACAGAGAAACCACACACACGCTTATTGCTCACACGGAGCACTCCAAACAAAAGACAATGAAAAACATTGATAAAACTCCTAAATGATGGTTATGAAATAAACTAAAACTTGTTTCTGACTAGTGTAGAAGGATGTGAACTCTGCAAACAACGTTTCCACTCCTAGAATGACAATGGTAAATCACTGTATGTCACGTTCGTTTACAGACGGGACGGACCAAGGCACAGCGTGATATGCATACATGTTTATTAACGAATAAACACAACGACAAAACAATAAACAAACGATACGTGACGTGACGTCCAAGGCAGCGCAGCGCAGCACAGCACAGCACAACACAACACAACACAACACAACACAACACAACACAACACGGAACAAGATCCCACAACCCACTAGTGCCAATAGGCTGCCTGAGTATGGTCCCCAATCAGAGACAACGAGCGACAGCTGCCTCTGATTGGGAACCACACCGGCCAACATAGAAATAGACATACTAGATTCTACAACATAGAACTAACACAACAAGGAATACACACACCCTGACTCAACATATAAGCGTCCCCTGAGTCAGGGCGTGACACTGTATGCCATCATTAACTGAAATAATGTAACCAAATGAAGGGGATAAACGGTACATTTACCAGGCCTACTGGTTACATGTGTAATGGGGAATTTTTATTTATTTTATTCATCAAAGGGAAAACAATTCCCACAATGTAACAATGAATGTGCAAGAATTGTCTGGAGACAGCGGAGCACATTCTGGAGAGCTGAGTGCATTCTGGAGAAGGACGCCCATATCTTCACCAGACACCCCTTCGCTTCTTCTTGTCTCAACATTTGTAATTATCCTCCAGACACATTATCTTCACACATTTTAGATGCTTTTCACTGTCAGCCACAACACAATGGTCAGCAAGGTCTATTG